TTTGTTTGTTTACAAGATTTTTGTAAATAAGCACTTTGATTCCTGCTTTCCCCCTCCCCTTTCTTGCGAGGAAAGTGCTTACCCTCTCCCCTTTCTTCGCAAAAACTGGAGGGGAAAGCTAATACAGATCTGTTGTGATAGAGCTCCTTGTAGACCAATACGCACCTTTTCTGTGTGATATTGCTGTATAAGCCACAGGAGTCTCCTATCAATGTTTGTTTTAACCAGTTTACACCATAGTCGATCTCTATCAGGTCAAAGGTTGATGAAAAATTGATAAAGGCGGCATAAAAATATTTGGAAGGTGGTCTGGTGTATTTGCTTATTACATGATGTAGGACAAAGGCTTCATCTATTGTACTCCTGCCTTTCCTGAAGCCTGCCTGTTCTTCAAAGATGATCGAGTGTTTGCTGTCCCATTCTAGAAGCCTATTCAAAATATATCTAGCATAAAGCCTGGAGGTCATATTAAGAAGACGGATAGGTCTCAAGTTGCTGGGGTCTAGTGGGTCATCTTTCTTAAAAATTGGCACCACAATACTGTTTTGCCAGCCTGTAGGGAGAATTCCTGTGTTGTTAATATAGGTAAATAGACTAGCTAAAATAAGGGACCACCACACAATGTCAATAGCAAAGACCTTGGCAGGCATCATGTCTTGGCCAGAAGCCTTACCTTTTTGAAGATTTAGAATCAAGTCCCCGATTTCTATGGGGGAAACAGGTGGCCATTCGGGAGAATTAGTGGGAATCATGTGTATGGAGTTAGTACAGGTACAACCCCCAAAGATATTATTAAAGTGGGAGACCCATACGTCTGGCCTAATGGAGTTGGCAATCTCAAAGGGTTTCTGTGAGAAGCTTCTTTCTAGCTGTTTCGAGAACTTGGGCTCATTACCTGGCCCAGAGATTTCCAATTATCAACGTAATAAGCTTTCTTTTTCCCTCTAAGAAAGGCTTTATACTCCCTCCGAAGACATTGCAGGAGAGTTGTGGCTTCATCAGTGCCAATCTATTTTGTCTGTTTTGTTGTTCTGTTCCACAATTTTTCCTTGGCCTTACATTCCCTATCCAACCAAGACTATTGAACTTCCAACGTTCTTACTGGGTGTGTGATGGTCAGATGTGGTTTGAGTGCAAGAATGATGTCCTGGTAGACTTTGCCAATGTTTTGGGCCCCAAGGAGAGCATGTTGCCGTAACCCTTGGTGTTTATTAGAGCTCAACATCGGCCTTATGTTAGCATTGTTTTTATAGCCCATTTAAGCCTTTTTTCGCTTGATATATGACCCAGCATTTTGTGATCTGTTAATACCCCTGCTTGATTTTGTCGGAGCCTTAAGGACACTCTGAGGGGAAAATGGTCACTTTCTGGCCTGTCATCAATTGTTAGAAAATCTACATATGGTAGCACAGAAGAGGATCCTACAATATAGGCACCCTTATCAGTTAAAAATGTGTAATAGCCATTTGAGATATCTAGGTAAGATCCATTTAGACATATAAGATAAAATTTATAAATCAACTGAAAGAGGAAGTGACCATACTTATTGATTAGCTTGTCATGGGAAGTTCGGGAGATGTTTTTATCTTCTCCAAGCTCCATGCCAAGGGCTTTTTCCATCATACAAAAGCTATTTCCCATTCTAGCATTACAATCACCACAAGGTATAAAAAGATGATCAAAATAATCAAAGAATAGTGTGTCTAAAAGGTCCTCCAATCTGTCTCGAGTGCCGTTTTTTGGTGGAAAGGCAAGCTATAAATGTAATAAACAAATCATAAATTAGGGTTACAGTAAGCCAGATATGACTAGATAGCACATAACATGACATGATATATTGCTTAGAGTAGATGCATTTTTGCAGAATCGATCAGAAAAACTACAAAAATTACCTTATATTTACCTTTATGGTACATATCCTATAATGTTTAAAACTGTAAAATATCTTCTATCTGTACAAACAAGAACAAACTGACCTGTTAATAGGGCCAACTTTGTAGCTAGAAATTTGAAACAATTTCCTCACACTGATGAGACGGACTAATGTTCCCTGTCAAAAGTCTACAGACTACAAAGCTGATGAACTGGTCAGCAAGCCTTGCTATTACACAACCGAACATGGTACTGCTAAAAACAAACGGATACCTTCAATTTATTAAATTAACTAATATGTTTCTAAAACAAAGCAACCCTATAGTGGATGCCCCTAGGGCCCACTGAGTATCCAAATCAAGTTTTGAGCATCTAGATCTGTGGTCTTGGAACAACACCTCTAATAAAGAGAATATGTGTCTGTCTTACCTAAGAAAAAATAGAAAGAAATAAAGAAGTAGACACCTATAATAACAAAAGATATTTCTGGTGCATCTTCCATTGACACATTACAGCACAATGTACAATAAAATCACATTAAAATAATACAATTTATATACTTTTAAATAATGATAACATTTTAAGACACTTTAGAACAACCAGCAAAATTTAAATTTAAATGTCATCCAAATAATGTTTATATGCCCCATCTACACAAAATACACGAGCTCAGAGGGAAAGCACATTAAATTGATCAGCCACCTCAAAAGGTGTACAGTACCTTGCCTCTGGGACGTTACCTATTGAGCCAGGTAATGTAAAGTGAGCTCCACCTCAGCTGAAAGTTAATGCCCACCTGACAAAACTAAAGAAGTACCGTAGGAATTTAGCTTTTACATCCCTTTAACCTATTTATTTCAAAATGCCTATGGGCTCCTGACATCCAGCTAAACCAAAGGCATAAGTTATTAAGATCTGACTGCTGACTGAATAGCTTATAAAAGGTCAGAGGTTTTGGACAAGCATCAAAGGTCTGATACCTGTTATATTTTAGTGAAAATGACTTAAAATGAAGAATCCACTAAGCTATCTACTGAAGAAAAAGTACCCAGGTCATTGCTGCAAAAGCCCTTACATTGCATAAAGATGGTGAAACTACTGGTTAAAAAACAGGACTTTCCCAGAAGGAGAAATTGCTACTGGCATGATTAATTCAGACTGCAGGGAAGCAAGCTTTTCAAACTATTGAAATCTGGTTTTGTTCTAGTCAGTACGGTATACACAATTTTCTCACTCAAGAGAATCATAACAAAGAATACAGTCTTCTTGTTCTCAGAATTCAAGTTCATGTAATTTTAATGCACAGTCTAAAGTGAACGCATACCACATGAAGCTATGATAAAATGTTGGTGCCAGAAACAGAAAAAAACATGTCTACTGTATTCCTCTGCAAGGGAGTCCTCATGACAGCATTTATATTGCAGTATTTGCCGTCAGCGTCTCTGCCTGTTCTCTTCTCATAAGGAGGGAGCACTTTAGTGTGGGAGCTCAGCAGCCTAGGGCCACAGACCACTGGATCTCTGCCTCGTTTCTGACAGTACTGACCTTCTCTGCCTTCCTCCTTAAGGTGAGCTTTCCTATGGAGACAGGGGAGGGTACGTGAATTCCACCAAGTACCTTCTCCTTAGTTTCTATTTTCTTTTTTGTTTGCTTGCTTTATGTAATACATTTATATACTGCCCAAATGGCAACCGGTTGATAAATATCAAGGACAATTTACAAAATCTATATCAGAGAATCATAAATTGGGAATTGGGGGGGAACCACCACAACAGAATCAAGAGCCAGCACTGGCCATAAAATTAAGGATCAAATGCCTCCTGGAAAGGGGGCTTCTCAATCTGGCATGTCAATGATGTCAATGGGAATGCCAGCTGGGTCTCCCTCTTGGGAGGCCATTCTGTAGAACTACTGCTCTTTTCCTAGAAGCTCCTGTTACACCGCTGTGGGCCTTAGTCCTCGAGCCTCAATTTCTACTCACACAGAGGCACAAGCTACTGACAATCCAAACCAGAACAGCCCAAAGAGCCCAAATTTTCGTGTCAAGTGGTTTGTTGAAGATACAAATGTATTACAAAACATACTAAAATGTAAAGGTCTGCAATCATTTTCAGACATTTGAAAACAATGGTTATACATCAGTCTATCACGAGTCCTTAAGACAGCAACAAGGGTTCAGACATTTCTAAAGCCTTACCATTCCAGTTTCATAACTAGAGATTATTTCCCTATTCGCTTATCAAGCATCTCAGTACAAGGAAGACACAACGTAGGGGAAGAGTTTCTTCCTAGAGAGCAATGATTATGAATTCCTCAAGGTTTCCAAGATTACAAAGGGAGCACCTGAACTTTAACAAGAGGTGGAAGAAGCAGAAATCAAACAATGGGGTCAAGAACCCTGTATTCATTGTTTTGTCTTGATATATGGCAGAGCCTATGAAGGGGAAATACTCGGCTAACCTGAAATATTGTATGTCAGTCCCTCTATTACAAAGGCTCCTCACAATGAAAGCCAATTATAGTAACATCTAGTCTGAAAAGTTGTTCCCATCACTGATGAACATACTCTGGTCCTGTAATGGTGAAAGTACTTAACATTTATGTAGCACTTTATCATATCTGTATAACACAAATTTATAAAATCCCTGAGACATTAATCTGAATTATCTCACATTGCAGATGGGGAGGCTAGAGCTGAGAAAACTGGTGTGCCTAAGGCCATCTGATGGATTCACAGCAGAGACAAAATTTAAACTAGGGCCTTTCTACTTCACACATCAGTCTCCAAATTAATCTGATAAACCTCTACTGGTGGACACGTTCTCGGTATTTGGAGGCACCTCAGAATTGATAATAATCATAATTCAACCATTTAGAAAGGGGTTCAGTGAGAAATTCCAGAGGCTAATTCCAGATTTGGAACAAATTCTGAAGCAAAAAAGAAGTGCTGTAACCACTACCCAGTCCACCAAACTCAAAAACTTGCTTTTGGAGGAAAGATGGGGTTAATACTCTGCATTTCATCTTAGTTTTCAACAGCAGCATCAAACCAAAAGACAAGCAGTTTCTCAGACTCAAAATTTGAAAACAGACTTCCCAGAATGGAATATGGTTCAAAAATTACTCACCAGCCAAGGGAGAAGGAGGTCAGCAAAGTATACAAATGCTGCTCCCAAGGTGAAACCAACAGCTACAGGTAAGAATGCAAACACCCCGAACTTCCCAGAGTCCTCAGCTAGCTCAATGGCAGGTGCAAGAAGAGACCAGTAAGAAGCTGCCAACATGACCTAAGCAATTAGAAAAGAGTTGATATCACTTCAGTTGTCATAACAGTGTTTATCTCTTCAATACGAAACCTAAAAAGTACATCATTACTGACACAGTAGTTCATTTAATATAAGGATTGGACAAGTGGCCATTCATATTTGCTGAACCATAACTTCCATAATCTCCCCTCACACAAAATGTATGAGCATTGTTTAAAAAAAAAAAGCAGATTTCTGTTTTACCTCAAATTGTGTTAAAGTATCAGTCTGTTCACTATGTTGGTGTACCACCTAAATCTGATTCTAAGAACATAAAGTTAGGACAGCATAAACACCAAGATGTACAGAGATGTGAAACTGCACAATTTTCAAAGGTCAACAACACAAATTTAAGATTATACTGAACAGAAGTTTTACATTTTATTAGCACCGTTAATATTTTCAACATTACAAATCAGACAAGATAATGGCCAGAATCCTATCACTGTTTGTGTAAGGTTTAGAGATAACTTGCTGTAGCTAATTAATGAGGTGCTGGGATGTGTCTTGATTGCCCGATCAGTTGCGTAATCAGACATGCTGCTGAGATATCCCCTGGCACCCCATCAATTAGCTACAGCAAGCTAAGCAAACTTTAAGTGAACAGCAACAGGATTCGGCCCAATGACTTACTGGAACAATAAAAATATAAACAATGACTAACAGTCAGCAAACTGAAATAGGGTGATACCATAAAAGATGTTAAAAAGATTACTGATGTTACCGAACTAGATTTGTCCACAAACTGATATGGTACTTTGGCGGTCCGTGAGGAAAAAACCATGCTTGATGGAAAAGGTAGTAAATGGGTACCAGGTTTCTACTGAAGTGTTTCTATTTTCAGACCCTTGAATGATCTTAACCTGTAGGTTAATGGTAGCCATGTGCTGCCCATCTAGAGATAGCCCTACTAAGGAGTTCTTTTCTAATAGTTTACAAACAATGAAAGAATAAAGCTCAACATCTGAATTGAGACAGTACGCAGAACACCAATCAAAGCAACAAAACCCACATAAAATAGGACATGCACTGTGTATTCCTCCAAGAAGTAATAATATCAAAATAAAGGTTCCAGAGAGGTGGCACAAATAGTCCATTTGTAATAAGCTGTGGTCTTAAAACACCTGTAATGTTCAATAAAAGTAGCCACTGTGCTTTCTCAGAGATAAGATTCTCTTTAAAGCATCCATTTGTTTGAGGCATTCCCCTGTCATTTTTCACACACAACAGCAAAATTGTTCCAATTTTTCCTTAAAGAGCTGTAATTCTAGGTCACGTTACAACCCTGTGATGACAACATGAATATGCACCTCTGCTTTTATATGTTCTCTGTTTAGCCATTTGCTCAGGCCACATCAATCAGCAATCTGCAGTTCTTAGTCAGGTTGCAATACCAGCAGGCACTAACCTTTTTCTAATTTGGACATCTAACCTTTTCAGTGAAGGGAAAATATGAAGTATGAAAGAGGGAGAACATGTAGAAAAGCAAAACATGAAAACAAAAACTATTAAATGCGAGTTGCATGATGCAGTTCTCGGTTAAAGGACAGGAAACAGGAAAAGCTATTGGTGGAGTGGATTTTTCTATTTCATGTGATCAAGAGAAATAACAAACTAATTTAGAAACTTTGTGTGTGAGCTTTTTCATAGCTATTACTGTTCACAAATGTGGCTTCCACAACTGGAACCCAATGTAAACTGTAAGATGGGTGGAACCCTTCACTCCACAACATTGTACAGTTTGAGAGATACTTATTACCAGAGTGGGTTTTATTTAAATAAATAAATAAATAAATCATTGATTTTTATGCATTTACATATGCATACACTGATTTTATATACCATGTAACACTGTAGGATAGGTATAATCAATAATGCATCACTCCTACCTGAGGCCTGGAACAGAGTTAGCAGATGAAGGCTAGCCCCTCTTACATAAAGGACTTGTGAGAAGTCCCTGTGCTGCCTTCCCTTCAAAGGGTCAGCGATGAGTAAATAAAATTCTTTTTTCTTATTAAACAAGAACTCAAATATCGCCTACTTCAGTGGTCCCCAACCTTGGGCCGGAACTCAAATATCACCTACTTCAGTGGTGACCAACCTTGGGCCTCCAGATGTTCTTGGACTACAACTCCCAACCACCTCTGCTGCTCAGGATTTCTGGGAATTGAAGTTCAAGAACATCTGGAAGTCCAAGGTTGGGGACCCCTGGCCTACTTGGAGTATAACAGAACACTGTCTCTTTAAGGGCAGCAAGGAGTTTTAATTTTCTCCCGAACAAATTAGTTCCAGTCTCTAGAGCCAGGGAGGGTGGAACCCTGCCTCCTCCATCAGCATCAACAACCCCTCAAGTGCACAAGGCACAGAGTGTCACAGCAAGGATGCCGAATACAAGCTTCCAGATTTCCTTGCACTAGGATAGCTTGAGCACCTGCCTGGGCAGACCACAGATGATCCTCCAAGGATGAGGGTGCAGCCGCAGCCTGATGCGCCTCCCTTGAGGCATACTCAAAGTCCAGTCAGACCAGGAGCACTCATCCTACCAATGTGGTGACTGAGGCGGTGGCAAAGGAGGAGGAGGGTAGATGGTTAACCCGGTGGGTACTTCTGGTGGTGGTCAGGCACTGGGAAAGGGTGGCTCCAAGGTTGTCTCTGGCGGTGGCCTACCTGGCGTTCATCCCTCCAATGCTTTGCCTCTCATCACCTTGCTTCATCCCAGCAGGCAGCCTCTTCCAAAGGAACACAAAATTCCACCCAACGACTGGATCATCTCCCAACTTTCCTGAAAGAGTCCTGTTGTAGCCACCATCCTCTGAACCTCCAGCACCTCAAGAGCACTGACCCAGCAGTCTTCCTCTTCTGATTCCAGTTCCTCCTTAAATTCCTCTGCTCGCCTGCATGCTTTCTAGGCATTTCCTGCACCTCCACCCAAGTCCACAGGCAAGCTGCACGTGTGTAGGTGTGCACTGGATTGTGAAAGCCCAACCCCTCCAGCAAGGACAGAACTATTAGGCTCACAGTCATGTTATATGCTTAGGAATTCCTTGTGAATTCCTCTTGTTCTGTCTCCCTATAGTAAAGAATAGTCTAGGGAAACAAAACAAAGAAGTATTTACAAAGAAACAAATATGTAGACTTTGTGATTAGACAAAGGTACAAAAATATTGCAAAAAGTGCAGAGATCAAAGGAAATTTGACACACTTAGGACATAAGCAATGATGTGAGCAGAAAGGGGATTAAATTAAATTAGAAAGGACAGGAAAATACAATACACAAAGATCCACTGGTGGTCTAAACATACCATATGATCAAATAGGCAGGCTAATAAATAGATAAACGCATAGAAGATTGGACTGTTCCAACCAAAAAGCCACACAGCTAAGAGTTTCCATGCATTACCAGTTGCAACTGGAAACATAATGAACTGTACATTTTGGTTGCTCAACAGCACCACAGTACCTTCCACAAATGTTTAACATTTATTTGCTTTCAGGAAGTAAATCCTATAAAGTTCAGTTATGTTCGCTTGCATCTGGAACAACAGCACTTTTCAAACCAAACTGGGTGGATGGAAAACCCACAAGCCCATGAGAAGCGCATGGCTTATAGGACCTTGTCTAATAGCAGGGCATGGGCGCATCAAGACATCCAGCTGCATCTTACTAAAACAATAAAAATAAATCTTACACCATGATACTGTTCCCACACATAAAATCTCATGAGTCATGAAAGAAATGTTTTCATTTTATTACACATGATTTCTGAAATCACCCTATAGGCCAACATTAAAGGTTTTTTTTTCTAGTTAGTCCAAAACATTCCATCCTTCTCCCACTATTTTTGTTTAACACGACATCCAACTAGGAATGCTGTCACTTTAGTCCCAGAAGATTATTGCATGAAAAGGGAGGGACTCCTCTGTCCCTTTAGGACTCCACATGAACCAAAACACTGATCTGTACATATGTATCTTGCTTCATGTGTATAGCCTACACAGACAGAGCAGTTTCTCCCTCTTTAGATAGTCATCTTCTGTGATGGAAGCAATGACAGAGCAGACAGGGTTAGCATATTCCCTTCAATGGCAAGTGTTCTCCATAAAGGAATACAACGAGAGATAACATATAATCTGCCATAGCATGGCAGGTCAAAAAGACTACTGACTCCATCTCTCTCAACAGTGAGTAACATTGCAAGTGTACACCTTCCCAGGGCAGCAATTCGATTTCTTCTATCTAAGGAGGCCTTTGCTGGAATATCAGCAGCTTTAGAATCATAGAATAATTGACTTGGAAGGGGGCGATAGCAATTAAGGGGCTCGTGCTTAATTGTTCCAGTGCCCCAGACAGGTATGGGATTTACAGGGTTTTTTCACTATAGCTACTAGAATTTATCAGGATATCACCCAGCAAGAAATTCTGGTAGATTAAGCTAAAAAAAATCCAAGTACTCAGATGAGTTTCAGGATCCTCCCCTGTTCCCTGCCAAGGCTATATCTACAGAGGACCATTAAAAATGGATATGGGTGTGTGTAACTTCCTCACTTTGACGGGAACCACAAAGCATTAGGGGAGTGGGGTTTTTTTGTGGGACACCTTTACAGGGTCTAATGCGCAAAGAGACTGAAAATCCCACACCCAGCTCCAGCTCCACAGTCCAGAAAAGCCCTGGAATCAGCTGCGTGTCTCCAAAGACACACCATGTTTCAAGATTATGTTGCTCCAAGTGCAACTCTCTTCCATGTGCTCTCTTTATGAGTCTCCTCCTCCTCCTGTTGTTGTGCCAGAACTCTTAATTATCATCATCATCACAGAACTGCAACACCCTATGGATCACAGGGTTCAGCCCCTGTAAAGGAGGCACAGTGGGGAATCGAACTCCCAACCTAGGGTTCCACAGCCAGTTACCTAAACCACTGAGCTATCTAGCATTCATATATTCTAGAGCAGACAGCCAACCCCTTCCTATAAGGTCAGTTATT